AAAAAAAAAATATATTTATAATTATAATATAATAATTATCCATAAATATTCATATATAATTATTATTAATATTTCGTATATTAATATAATATATCTATATTGATTTCGTCAATTTCCGGAATGATTCGTAATGCAAACTAACATTTCCCTTTGGGAAATAATTAATATTTTATATTATTTTGAATGAATTTGATCCGTTTCAGCCAAATAAAGGACCTGCCGTGAAACACAATTGACCCCTCAAATCGCAAAGACAATAGGTAGCATGAGCCAATCGGACAGTGGTGTCGACATTCAACAACAAGAAGTATGAAAGCCAGCTCAAGATTGGCACAAAAAGCATTATTCCAACAGGAAGATAGGTCGCTGCTAGAAGGCGGTCAAGGCATTTGAATGATCGGCCACGAATAGGCTTTGTTCCTTGAATCCAGGCGGCATTTTGCTCGCCAGCGAAAGCCACGAAGAGCATCTCATCGATGGTGACCAGGAATGTGAGCGCCAAGCTGTTCAAAATCAAATCTGAAATGTTCCGCACAGACAGAAGATATTGAATTCCAATATCAAATATGCAACACTGCAAAACGGTACGAGGGAAGAGAATTAAGAGCATCGTAAGGAGTCTGAATTTCTTTGGAATGCCAACCACTTCCAACGTGCAATCATCACTGTCCGCTTCCCACTGCTCAACAAGGCACTCAGTGACATCTTTCAAAGGTTGTGCCAAAAGAATGTTCCACCAAATGAAAATGTTTTTAAACTCCGCGACTGATGCCATGCCCCACAAAAAGACAATCAAGAATAGAAAGACTTGGAAGAGCGGGGAAGTTAAACCCAACAGTTCATCTTGATATACTCGGCTGGCCGCATAGGATACGACGACATGATCACCTCTGATCCTTCGTGATTTCTTTCCACAAACTTCCGCGCGTTCCTCCTGGAAGAGTGTTGACTGGAGCGTCAGCACCTTTGGGCAGAACAGGCTCACGGCCTTTCGACAAATCGTCTCGGGCATCAAGTCACTGGGCATTCTGATTTCGGCCATCTTGAAGAACAAAGGCACCGTGGCAGAGATGTTGGTGCTCACTTGAGGCAGGGAATTCTCAGCATGGAGGTTGCCGCAGGTGTCTGACTCTGGAAGCAAACAATATTTCATGTAGGGCTCAATTTGAGTCTCATAAACCTGCTGCGGGAGAGATGTAAAATTGATGATGCACTCGTCCTGCTGAGCTGGGTGGTCTGCTCTTTGCATGCAAAGCCGAAAGTCCTGCAAATTGCTGATTTCATCCAAGGGCAAGGATACAGGGAGATGGTCATACCCGGTCAATTGTGGGCTGCGTGAGCCACCACCACAAGTGCAGCACAAATCCATGGCACGAAAATCCGAATCATCGAAAAGGCCACATGCATCGTAGCCATTGTAATCTTCACAGGTAGTATCTCCTCGATCAGTTGCCCCACTATCCATATCCACACATTTGGGAATGCTGCAGGTATAGATGGTCTCGTTGAAAAGCTTTCGGGTGAATCGTTGGGGCAAATAGGCTTTCGATGCATCCGTGGCGGGTTTGGCATAGCTCACTACCACATGCCCGTTGCTCGTGATGTTCTGGATCCAAGCCGGCTTCCAAAAGCCCGTGGGTTGATTGAAGGCTTCAATTTCTTCACCAATGTCGCACCCTAAAGCCCGAGGGCCAGCATGCTGCTTCATTTGGTGAATCAGGTTCTTGTATATTTGTGTCATATTGACCCTCCGTTCATTTCTGTGCACATGTTCTGCGTCCAAACGTGCTGCTTCTTCGAAAGTCCATGTGCCATCCAAATCCAGATCAAGCTGGCTGAAGCTTGTGGCGTAAACGACCTCATCAGGAGTACACATCAGCTGGTCCTTCTTGATTGGATCTGGGTACCAACAAGGTGCCGAGTGGTCATCATCATCATTTTCCCCAAAGAGCTTCTCAGTGAACTGCCGCCTTGTCAGAGCCGTCCTCCTCCAAAGCAAATAGGCAATGGAATATTGCAGAATAAAGTTGACAATCAAAAGGAAAAAGGGCCGACCAAAGAAGCGCCTTGAGATCAGCGGCATCAAATATGCATTGTCATAGGCTGATGGTGCCAAGGCCAATCGACTATATCCCAAGACTTCGCGTCTGGCCGTCTTGGAACTCAAATGTCGCAGCAAACCATGTGCATGAGGACCAAACGCATGTTGACCTGAGAAACCATCCCGCACTTGCGGGGACTAAAAGGACTCGTTGGCCGGAAGATGCTGCAAGAACTGCTTGGCAAGAACTACTTTTGTTCATCCCCAAGCAGTTCTTCCAGCATCTTCCATACTTAATAGCAAAAGGAACCCAATAGCAATGGCCTCCTAACTACTTGCGATGGCCTCCAACCTAAAAGCAATGGCCTCAAGGAATTGGTCGATGCATACACAAGCCTTAGGCAGAATCCTGACTCTATGAATAAAAAACAATGAAGTGATGATCATCGCCAAAAAATAAAACATTTCCCTCGGGATGCGGATGCTACATAATGACCAATGCAGAAGTTTCTGTGTGCCGTGCAAATTTTGCGGGTTGATTGGCAGCCAATTTTCGCAGGGCAAACAATTCTCATGCATTAGGATCCATTGGGCAATGAACTCAACCACTCTGGTTTCGACTTCCCCGAAAACCAGACCTTCGCCCTGCCCTGCCATCTTCCCAAATCCAGTGACGAAGACCCGTGGATGCCGTGACATCGGGCGGTGCCGGGCTGGTGCTCGCAGAAGGGCGACTACGGAGTCCTGTCTGGTGCGGGTCGGCGGAAAAACACATGGATTTGGGTCTGGAAAACACCACTTCTCAATGCATTCAAGCTTCCCTTGTTAACCAAAAAGTCGAAGATGAAAGACCACCTTTTCATTGGTATGACATATTGTTGTATATTGTTGTTAATTTCTTTTTGTGAAACAATCGAGTCTCTGGAATTGTGAAGACCACCTTCTTTCTGGATTTGCTCTCCGACTTTCCCTTGGGCAATCTGACTGAGGGACTGGCCAGTCTCATCTGCGACAGGTCCCTCTGTCACGTCGTTCTCCATGGTCTCAACAGCAGTTTCTTCATCGTGCACTTTGGACTGGCCAGTCTCATCTGCGACAGGTCCCTCTGTCACATCGTTCTCGATGGGCTCAACAGCAGTTTCTTCATCGTGCACTTTGCTCCCCATAGCAAACAGAAAGTCTAAGTCACTGCAACTTCTGTGAAAGCTTGCTTCTGAGGCTGCGAAAACATACAACAAACCACAACAACATCTAGTTCTTCTGGTTACACGTCTCTTGTCTTTACTGAATGAACTGCTGATATGCTTTCAGAACTACCATGGTTCGGCGATCTGAGCCCCAAGTTTTGCAGATGAAACGTGGGTGGGTGGGCGGGCTACTCCGATGTGCAGAATCAGTGGAATCCTATGTTTGAGCTACCCCAAACTAACTAACCCGCAAAGAAGCGCGGGTTGCATTTAGTTCAAGTACGGTGCAATAGTCATGATCGACCTCTTGAGTCTGATCATTTCGATCAGCTTGCTGTAATCACCTTGGAACTGCCCATTCGTGGCATTTTATGACCAGCCAACTCACAAGCCAGTTGCACACACACAGCAGCGGGTTGCCAGAAAATCGACCCATTTGACAACTAGCTCAATCAGCTAGGTCAGTTGCTGATCGATCTTCCTTGCGCCAAGCCTGGCAAGAAGCAAGGCTATTAGCATCATGGTGAAACCTTGCAGCTGTAGCTGGTACAAATGCTTGATGATGTTTGTCTGCTTGTGCCACGTCAAACTGTAATGGTGGATTCTGTCCCGCAACATTCAGGGCATGGGTACTTCGCCGGCTGCCCAAAGTGAGATTGACCACCGCCATACCATGTCGCAAATGCATGGAGTGGAGCGATGCCAGATTGGTCTCGAGGCGCTAGGTCTTCATAGGAACAATGACGTACGCAACCTGTGAAGTCTTACCGAGGAACAAGTATCCTTCCAACAGAATACGAGGATTCATTGATAGATTTCAATTTTGGATACACAATTAGATATATTTATATTTATATATACGCACGAGGATTCGGTCAGGAACGATTTTACCTCTCCCATGGACATTAATGGAATCTTGGTGCGAATATTTCACAACTGGGGCTTGGATGGGTTTGTTGGCCAAAAACAGTCCAAAACTGACCGAACTAGCTGTTAGGGTGGGCTCTGTCAACATGGCTTTGAATGTAGCCTCTGCAGGGCAACGAAAAGCTGACTCTCATTCTTGAAAAGCAACTGTCCAAAAAGTACCCATGCGGAGAGCGGGAAAGAGTCTTCTGTAGGAAGCTGGTGAGGTTGGCGGCATATGCTTGCAAACATGTTGCTGAAGACTTGCAAGACTCCTCCATCTCACAGCCCTGCTGGTCGGAGTCAAAGCGGCTTTGGAAAGCAAAGGTCGGAGTCTTCAAATAAAGGGAAATCACACTCCCAATAAGGCATTTCTCCTCTGAGCCAACATGATCTCTTAAGCACTGCGGGTTCAAAAGGCCTTGGCCCTCCATTTCTGTCACAACATACCTCTTCAAGGGAGTAAAGATGTCGAGATCCATATAAAAGCCGGAATCCGGCAAGGCAACCACCTTGGCTTCAGCTTGAATCAGCTGCGCAAGCGCATCGATGTGTGCATACACCCGGATGGCACCAGCACTGCAGCCGCTAATGACCACATCAGTGGCATTACCAAAGTTAAACTTCCTGCCGAGGTCACTGAACAAGGCCTCTGTAATCTGCTTTCCTCGAAAATAGATGGAGCTCCCCTCCACGACCTTGGGCTCTTCACGATCTCCAGAGAAGTAGCCACCATCGCAATAGCGAAGAAAGATGTGATTCCAATCGTGCATCAATGGGTTTTCTGAGGAAGACCGGGAGAACTTGAGATTGCCTTGCTTCTCCAGGTCCCAAGTCTTTGGGTCTGAACTGCTACTTCCAAGTCGGCCTTTTGCTCTGTCAAAGCAGCTGGAATCAGAGTTGCAAAAGCCTCCACCCTCATGAAAAATCTGGAACTTGCTAGTGCCAGAACCACTGCCTGGGCTGAAGTAGTAAAGGCCGGGGCCTGAGAATGTCAGAGCCAAAATGACACAAACCGTAAGATACAATAGATAATAAAACAACACAAACATATATATATATATAATATTATATTACATGTCAGTGTCTTGTTCCACGGTGGATCGGCCCCCTTCACCGCTAGATGCAAATGACCAAGGCACTTCCATCGAGGCAGCGCGCCTTTGCATATCCGGTTTCAGGACCAATGCGATAGGCGTTGGCCGGTTGGTCGCCTTCAGCTGTAGATGTGATGAGAGCAAAGAGGCCCAACCCGAAGACGGCGGAAGAGAGACCCATGGCGGCGAAGAGGTAGTGTTGATAAAAACAATTTGAAGTACACAGCAAATCATAGCAAACATGCTGAGATGCCCCAACAATAAGCAATCTTTCTGCTTGTCTGATTCGGAAATTGCATTCTAGCTATGCTGTGATGTCTATTCCTTGGTGAGCCATCAGCACATGATATACCTATAGTACTGCAGCTCTACTGTGAAGCGACATGTCCTGGACACTGCAGTGTGCAATGCTCAAGTGCAGCTCAAGCACGGTTTTTCAGCCCTTCAGAGGAACATCTTTTAAAAAGACTTCGGGATGAGGCAACGGCTTAGCAGCGAAGAGGCCCCAAGATCACTCGGCTTGATGCCGTGGTTGTCACCAAGGCTTAGCGGCCCAGCTTGGCGTCAGGTTTGGCATCTTGGTGTTCTGTTCAGGAGATTGATGGAGCTGAGATCATCTGAGATCGAAGGTCTTCATGATGAAACATCAAATGTTTAAGAATAAGATTGAGAAGATCGATTGATGCAAAATCGAGCAGATCTGCGAAAATCTCTCATTGCTCTCCACGTCTCTCCACTGGCCGAGAGGCATCCAAGATTGTACAAGTCTGCAAGGTTACAAATGTCAGGTTTTAATTACCGCGAGTTCGCGGGCTCCCGCGCTTCTGTGGCGGGGAAATGAAGCAATCTTGCAAGCCTAAGCACAGCTTCCCAAGGGGCCTGGGGGGTCCGGCTGCCAAAACCAATGTGGACCTACTGTCTGCTGAACCTCTTGATCCCTAGTCCCTCAGAAGCTTTTCAGGCTCCGGACCAGTGCTGAAACATGAAGGCCAAGAACTGTGAATGCTGGAAACCAAAACTCAACTGCATTCCAGATCTTGATCTTCGCACTGGATACTTCAAACATCAATGCGTTTGGTGATCTTCTCACCGTCTACTGCGCGCTCTGTTTTGGTCTGAAATGGCTTCTTGCCACCTGAGGATCCTTCAGAAAGAACTGAATGATCTGATCTGAATGGACTACCAAAAATGTGACACATACCGTGCTTTTGGGCTGTTTGGTTTTGACTCATCTCCAAATCTGATCACCCGACATGGAAACAGCTTGTTCACTCAGCGATCTGTGATCTTCGCTGCACTAGCCTCCCAAGCACACGGGTCATTGTCAGAAAACTTGCACGACTGGACATGCTCTTTGGATCTGCAAGGTTAAGTTATATAAACGGTGCTTCCAAACATGAGGCAAAAACAATAAATATTATATAATATTATATATATTTAATTATATTTCAAGTGTTGCCAGTGCCTTTCACATAAACAAGAAGGACGTGTGTGAGTGGATGTCATCTGGAATAGTAGGCATTTAGCACAAGAAATGCCCTCGAACTTGTACTGTAAGAGCATTTCTCTGCCCTGATCCAAATATTTAATGCGCATGGCAATGGTGGTGCTCTTCCTCACTGTCACCTTTATGTCTGCAATCCGGTGAAGCAAAGATGTCTGATCATTTATATCATTTCTGAATCTGCTTCGATCTTCTCGGAGAATACTGGGTCCAGCGTCACTTCTTCCTTCAACAACTGATGCTCATCCACCCGACCGATGCTGGGCGCAGAAATGGAGTCTGCGAGGTCCTTCTGACGTGTAGGCCGTTTCCAAGGACAACACACGTTCCAGAGCAAGGTAGCAAGGTGCGGTAGGGTGTTTTCTTTTTTTTTTACCTTGTTTCATACAACAGCGATAAACAATCAAGGTGTTCGAGCCCATGCAGACCAGCTTGGCCCAGCAAAAAAACAAACCCTGTAAAACACCTATAACTTATTAATATAAAACGCATGACACCTGAACTAAACCCACTCTCTCTCTCTCTCTCTGCGAAGCCTGAAGTTGGTCAAACGATGACCGCGGCCCGTGCAGCGAAGATCCAATCCTTCTCAGCTGAATGCTGCTTGACGCAAGTCTGGAGGCCTGTTTGCGTCGTTGGTTCTGAGGTCTGAAGGTCACCAAAAAGCAGGGCTAGGAAACCAAACCAAGCACCAAAGCCACATGGATTCACAAGCCTTATACATGGTACGAGTACAAAAAGGTGGTATAGAAGTGCACGCTCTCAAGCCTACACGTGGGGATGATATCTATCACTGTCACTACTCAGGGACTTTCACCATCTGGGCAGCTGCTGGTACGAGTACCTCCGGGCCAAATGACCAAACTGCCAAACTACTGCAGCCATGTTGCAGCTTCAACATTGCGCTGCGCAGCTGCTGCTGAAACCTGGGTCAGGGCGTCAAAAACAATCAGGCACAAGAAAGACCATTAAACAGGTCGGATCTGATCGATCACACTGGCGTTGCGGCGGATCACGACGAACCAAGGCAACATCTGTAACAGAAAACGGTTTGAACACGCAATAGTGGATCACGATGGTTAAGTGGATCACGATGGCTAGTAAATGCCTTCACCAACCATGTGAGAATCTATCACTGCTTCTTTCTGATTAGATCCCAAATTCTGTCATGCATCACAGAATTCACACCATTGACTGGTCGCATGGTCGCTCCAGGCTACTGCTCCATGGTCACATTGAAGTGCTTCGATGCCAAGGCCATTCGCTTGCGAGCCATCTCCGAGTCTCGCCTCGTGGCATTTGGGGGGAAGGATGGGGAAGGCACATGAACTGGGTGGCAAGGAATCTCTCTCTCATTTTCTGGACGACAAGGAACATGCTCGTCTTGATCAACAAAGATCACGAATTTGCTTTTCAGCATGGATTCTTTCCCTCAAACATCGACGAGTTTCACAAACAAGCCCAAACAAAACAACACGGTTCCCTTAGATCCATCGAGCCCAAACAAAACATCGGTTTACAGCCCAGGACCACGAGCGGACGAAGGACCAGCCGACCACGGACCAGCCCAGGACCGCCTTCGCCGCTCCACCCATTTCTCCGCCAAGTGGGGCCTTGAATCAAGCAAATCCCCATGGTGGGGACCGGGACCGGGATGGACGCGATGTGGGCGAAAGGAAGGACGGCAAAGCGAAAAGCCAGCCAAGAGTGATGAACCAGTGGACGTATGCTGAGATCTAGAGGTCTCAGGTGAGATGGTCCAGGTCGGACCCGGCGGACCCCGCTTTGTGAACTTCCAAGTGGCAACACGTGGGACAAAGTCAGTTTAAGCTCCCTCGTCATCCCCATCTGCCGGCTCTTTGCAGCCACCAAAAAGAAGACTACTACGCCGCCCCTTCACTCCGCCAAACGACACCATTTGTGGCTGAGCTGCAAGTGTGTCGGCTTGGTGAAGGGCCTGTGGCGAACACAACCCATCGAGTTCATGTGCTCCGCAGTGACATGCTCCAAGACTTGAAGCTCTTGGCGAGACACCCAAGAGATACACTCCTCGGCGCAAGTAGGCTGGAGGCCATCGCTACTAGGTTGGAGGCCATCGCTAATAGGTTGGAGGCCATCGCTAGTAGGTTGGAGGCCATCGCTAGTAGGTTGGAGGCCATCGCTCTTAGGTTCAAGCTCTTTGAAAGTCAGCAGTCCTAGTCTCAACATGTGTCAAAACACAACTCAGAGTTGTTGAGTTTAACTATGGACAATCCTAATACATGATAATTATGCAGCAAATGCGCTTGGGGTATTGCCAATGAAAAGCAGCAAACCCAAAAACGTGACCGCCAAAGTTTGTGAGTCTCCACTGGGCAGGATTTGACCGCCCACTCCAAGTCATCTTCGCTGTTGCCCCACTGAGCATACACGCGGGCTCGCACATGGTCGGCATCCATGCCTGGCTTGGCGGACGTTGAGCGAACATCGCAGAATGATTCAGGTCTCAACGAATATCAAGGCATGGAGCAGTACTGTATTGTCGCAAGGAGTAGTTACTTGCATACCTTGGGGTCATAAAACGAGGTAAGCAAGAACGATTCCATACACAAATTGTCCACAGTTCGGGGAACCATTTGCATCCAAAGCTCTGTCGAAGAAGTGGAAGAAGCTTCTGACATCTTGGGCATGTTGGGGAAAGTTTCTGATCCCTATAAGTGGCAGCAATGGACTACTTGAGGTGACTACAATATTCTGCTGGACACCAGCTGCAGCCATGGTTCATCCCGCTTCTGTGCAACCAGGCTACAAATACTTTTGGGAGCACACTCGACGCAGTTCCAGCAAGAGATACATTTCAACTCCTGGGCATGGTTTGTCTAGGGAGACATCTGAACTTGGTTCTTTTTGCTTTGTTCAACTATTTCAATTCTCATAAATACTCTGTAGATTGGAGGGAGTGTTGATCTTGAGCGTGCCCAACACCCCAAAGCCAAACCTCGTGGGACTGCCTCCCAACAAATCAGCCCGCTGGTGAGGGATTGAATTTGGCATGGGTGGGTTTAACCCTCTCGCACCATGAGGCTGAGGAGCGACTTGAAGTCTTGGACATGAAAAGAACATACCACGAAACGCTTGTCATGATAGGACTCTGCTGTACATAAGCCTTCAAACATCGTTAAACAGCCATGCGATAGAAAGCTAGGCGTTGCGTAGCCAAAGTCTAGTAGATCCTTGCTCTTAAGCCAGCGGCATAGGTTTCGACTCTTATCCATCTTCATGGCCCATGCCTGCACCTTGAAACCTTCCTTTCTTTCTGGTGGCTCTCACATGCAAGCTTGGATGGCATCAACCTCCTGTGACTTCTTCAATCAGCAGTGTTCGGCATGCTGGCTGAGCTTCATCAATGAACAGGAACTTTTGCTGCTCCCACCTCCAGTGCTTTGGTGCCGACGCAATCAAACCAAATCAAACAACGGGATAGACACCGGACACCGGTGGCCATTGACCGAGAGGTGTAGCAAACAAAGCAAGTGTTCTCGATCCACTGCGCCTGTCACCACGATCCTCGTCTGGAACTCTCTCCCACAATGAACGCGATCGCCTTGATTTCAACTGATTCTCGGAAGGGACACAAGAATCCGACTGAAGAACTCATCACAAGGGTTCAAATTTTTTCTTGCAGAATAATTACTCCGTGATGATGCGTATTCATCATGTGTCATCATGTTTCATTATGGTTACATCCAAGAGCTTTGGCAAGGGACGGGCGTCCTTTGTAGATCACCTTCTCTCCGCGTCGTTCTTTTGCGGTCCAAGGCCATCTCAAAGGTCACATGACATAAAGGTCGCACAAATCGCAAAAACAACATGAATCTGAAAAGAGACAGATCTAGTCTCCAATCGTCTCCAACCTTTTTAATGGATTGGCAACTAATTATATACCTGAATGGTGATTCTGATGTGAAGTTCCGCAATTCAGAAGTGTCAGTCGCACTTGTGATCTCTAAGCCTACAAAGTGGCAGCCGTTTCGAGGCAGCTAAGCCCTCAACGTGGGTCCATCATCATCGTCGTCCTCCACGTGGGGGTCGATGTGCAAACCTCGGACGATCAGATCGCTGAAGAGACCAGATCTGAGGACACCCCGACAGCCGGAATGCGAAGGTGTGTGAAGCCAACGCCATGGCTTTACCATCCGACCACACCTGCTTTCGAAACAAGTTTTCTTTCGCAACACCCATCCGAGCCCTTGCGTCAACAAGTATTGTATGGGATCGATAGTCAATTTGCACATCTGTGAGTGTTGTTCCAGAACTCTTTGACCGTGCCCTTCAAGTCTGTACAATTCTGTGTATACATGTCTCATCCCAAGTCTGCATATTCAGGTGCCCCTGCTCGCATCATACGCAGATCGTTTCTCAGGATCTCGTAGCACATCAAAAGCGCCTTGGTTTGCATCCAAAAGAATTATATAAGTCACTGTATGCGCTACTTCTCAAGTGTGGTCCACAAGCTGCTGACTTGTCACAGCATGTTCTGGGTTGGTGTCTTGGTTTGTCCAAACCAGTGCCATCTCCTTTTCGAGCGATGGAATAGAAGTGTCGGAGATTTGAGTCTTTGGTTGGCTCAACGCTCACTTGAAGTACAGGTTAAGGCATTCCATGCCGTAATTTTGTCTAACACTTTGCCGCAGGAATTGGTGTTGCCGGGATCGGACATGAACACGTATCTGTGGATAATGATACAACACCGCATGCTACATGATGCATCAGAGTCCGAGTGGCTGTTCAGCAACATGCTCACCTCCTTGGGATGGGGGGCACACCGTTTGAACCTTCTAGAATCTTATCTGCCAACAACGGCATTACAAGGAAACGTCAATCCACGAGCTGGGAGAGTGTTTCATATTGTAAGGTGGTGACATGACGACTCTTTCTACAGCGAAAACCAATGCAATCAGGGAATGCCAAATGAAGCTTCTTGAGAGACATGATTTTCTGCAAACATCTATAACATTCTATAACTTATCTAATCAGTTGCAAACACATAAAGTTAATCACTCTATCGACAAACATCAGTTGCTCCCTCTCCTGGGCGTTATCACCTGCCACATCGGGATGCACCATCTTCCTTTGCAAAGACCGACGTCCACCGGAGACCGACCGAAGACGTTTCTTGTGCACATGGATGCACATGGCCGAAGCAACGCAAAAAAAAAGTGACCATGGGCTCAAAGGGTTGCCACGAAATCTTACGAATGACAGCAAACGCAGCTGTAGACCTTTACTCCTACTGTAATAAGGAGAATTGGGACCAGCAGCAGGTTACAAGAAACACCGTGGCCACACTTCTGCGAACTCACGCGAAGTGATATGGGTTCAAGCAATTCAAATTTGAGGGCAAGGATGTCTTCTGAGGACGATAGCAGGCACCTGCACATAGAAACTGGTAGACAACCCCTGGCATCAACAAAAATCATCTTCCACACCCCTTCAGGCAGCTTCATTCTTCTTTCGCTTGGTTTGGATGCAGGGTAACTTTGGGATCTTTGGCATAAGTAATGCCCCAACGGCCTCGCCGGGCTGTAGGCCGAGCAGCTGCTTCGCGAGGTATGCCTTTCGGATGGTCGAGGTGTCTGCACGATGGTCGACCTTGCAGCATCCAACGGGTGCATATCAAAGCTCAAGCCTTTGCTGAAAGCAGCGCATGTTAGGTGAACATGACTCCTGCCCTCAAATGCCAAATGGTCATAAATGGTCCATGCCTCTCTTGACAGAGATTCTTCACAAGGCATGCCATCTTGCACCACTCTTTCTGTTTCGGAATATTCTAGTTCGATAGGTTGGACCGTTTGGAACAAGCAAGTACACAAGTGGTGATGGCCTTCAACCCTTCCCGACATAGATGTTCTTTTGCGCACATTACACGCCAACAAGCTAATCGCGATAGATCAAAAACAAGCTTTTTCAAAGCAAATGATCGCGAAAGCTACGATACCCAGCTGGGCCTTCTTTGGGCACCAAGCTGGAGCTCCTGGGTTGCTGTGAACCTTGGATCATATTTTTGGGCCTCCCAAGAGTCCAAGGACTCTTTTCTTATAGCGGCTCGTCAAGATGAACTGCCCAACAAGGGGACACCAGGCTTCAAGTTCCGAGTCATAAACGCCGCGTAACGGCCAAGCACGAGTCGAAGGCCAGCAATGATCAGAACCGCAGCGACCACTTGATGATCGAACTTTTGGATAATGCGAATGGCAGCTGGGATCAAGCAACCCATGACAAAAACGACCAACATTTGCACGATGTGCTCCTAGACATCAATTCCAAGCAAGCTATGCCTTCTTGGCCCCTCAGTGGCTTTCAAAACACTTAAGAAAACATGTATTGCATCCACCCGTCCTGCAAGGCAGCATCCTTTTGCTGCTTCAACTCGCCATTCTCCTTGTCTCCCTCTAGCTGTTTCTTGACCTTCAGGTATCCTGAAGCTCTGGTTGTGTGGATCAAACCAGCTGAAAAAGGCGACTGTGACAGACTACTTAGGGATAGGCCAAGCCCTAAAAATCGGGGCCCAAGTCTCACAAAGGCGAAGGGTTGATCTTCGGTCCAAGCATCTTTGGATTGATCCATAGCCCAAGCGAGCTGCATTCAACTGAAGTAGCCCACCAATGGTGATACCAGTGGCAAAACCCAAGTCATCTTGCTGAAACCAGGCGATGTATCCACCGGCACAGAAGCTCACGATGCCTCCAACACAAAGACCGTGAACAGCGCACGCATCCTCTCTGATGTTCTAGTTATATACATAAATAACCTGTGGCTACCACGAACAATGCTACTCTTGCTGGATAAGTTCGACTAGAAATCGCACCCCCTCCATCGATGACGTTCATTCAAGTCAAAAGGAATAACTATGTTCCATGATCAACCAATTTCCTCCGGTGGCATTCGGGACCTCTTACCGAGTGCCGAAGCTGGCAAAAGGTGCAGAGCCAGGCCAGAAAATGAACATTTGCCACGCGAGACTTCCCCAAAGCCCATTGCGGGGACATATCGTCAAGCCCTAGAGACAAAGGCTGGTGAAGCCGCTTGTCCTTCTCTCCTTCCATCTCTTCTTGTGGCCCCGCCAGTCCCCCTCGAACGTGTACGTTGGGCAACTCCAGCTCTTAGTCACAGATCCAGCAACTTTCAAACATGGCATGAAAACAACCAGCTTAACATGACATGCAATATGTCTCCAAACGCACCTTAATTCGGCTTTCGGAACTTTAGGCCTCCGCCTAGGTTTTAGAGGGCTTCGGGTTACTCGGTTATCCCCATGCCCGCCACGACTTGACACCCAGCACCCCCACCCATGTCATGAAACTCGAAGGTGGCACAACCAAAGCTTGAGATACGTCTGGCGAAGGTGGCACAACCAAAGCTTGAGATACGTCTGGCAACGGCCCTTTAGGGTTTAGGGTGCCTTCGATGTGCTGAAAGGTTGATAAAGGAGTTTTACAAACCCTGTGCCCGGACCACCTTGCCACGATGTCATGATCTTGCCCGCTCATTTCCCAGAAACTTGTTCTTCTATGTTCTCGATTCATGCAGCAACTCTAAGACTGCATCACTACTCAACTCTTCGAATATTGTAATTGCATATCCATCATGTCGATCCCTTTTTTCCAGCAAAAAGACGGCACTGCGCTCCACCGAATTTGCCATTCGAGTCCACGACCTGTCCAGTGACTTGACATGTCGGGTGCCTGCGATCAAGCCAACTCGACCAACCCAAACATGGAAAGGTTGAGCTTGTCCATCAAAAAGCGATGGTGTCAGTAAGCTGTTGTGAATACAAGCCACAGAAATGCTAAATGCCTGCGAACGACAACAAGCCGATACCAGGCACTGGGGAGAAAGGAGCACGGGACCGCGATGTGGGCAGCACAAAGTACAGCGATGGGGGCCATGACGGGCCGATGGAAAGTCTGTATTCTTCTCCCTAGTAGCTTCTTGTTACTAGTAGCAATGGCCTCCAACCTAATAGGAATGGCCGCCTCCACCTAGTAGCGTCCTTGTTACTTAAAGAAAACGGTCAACTTACACTTCCATCCACCCCTGTCGTTTGCAGGACACCCTGACAACATGGTAAAATAGTTTATGTTTCATACAGTCATGTCCATAAGGGGGAGGCCGTGACAATTCCAGCCCATGTGCATCCCAGGAGCGCAGCATAAGTGAAGGCACAACAAAGGCCGATCTTTTGCGTGATCTTGGATCAAGACTGGTGGAGCATGTATGAAGAAGAACCAGAATAGCAGCAGGGTTGCGCCAAACCAGTAGATGTTGAAGTTCTTTATGCAAGTGGCCATGAGACGCACGCTATACCAGTTTGTGGTAGGAAACACGTGCGCCTTCTGAGCAGAAACTTACGGCATGCAATGCAAAGAAATAGCCGGTCCAATGCAACACCAACAATACAGTTTTTTGGGTTTCCCCCACAAACGAACCTGCCAAAAACTGTATGGTCTCGAATGGCTTCTTTGAGAAATCCAATCCAGGGTGGGACAGAACCTGGTGGTGACTTGGAGGTTTCTCTGAGGCATTCCTATGAAAGAGCCTGCCATGGCGATTGATTATCTACGATCAACTTCGTGGATCAAGGGATCATGTTGGGACTGCCCTTGTTGGGAATGAGAGACCTCCCAACAACATCTTGACGACGTGTCAGAGCTACGTTCAGAGATGTTGCCAGTGGGCTACTCAAGCGAGGCAGTCTATGGAGACATATGGGCTGGGCTACTCGATTTAAATCGATTTAATATACTTGGCGTAACACCTTCGCACAACTGAATTGCAACAATCTTGGAGGGCTTGTAATACGGCTCCAACAGTGCAGGGTATAGTTCATTAATCAACGACTCCAGTATGAACGGGAATCCTTGATAGATCCGACCATTGGTGTTTGCCTTAGAGATCAGGGATGGCAACATATGGCAACTCTCGTCAATACCTCAAATTCAATGGCTCGTGAGCTCAATGGCTCGGCGTTCTCTTTACTTTCCCTTGCTGTCCGGAATCCTGAGATTCGATGGTACTGTAAGCAGCCTGGGCCTAGCTGGGCCTAGCTGTCGCCAAGGCACACCCAGAAAATCATAGAGAGTTCGAGGATTTGGAATGCTCCTGAGACCACATCAGTACACCATGTTCCGCAAAGCATAACAAATCCGTCTTCCGGCCGTGGAACTCGGCTTGCCCATTGCCTTCGGCCGGCCCCACCTTGTGAATCCATGATAAGCATCTTCAATCAAAAACAGGCGAAACAGGTACAGTACATATACAGAATCAACATGTACATTGGCATGATATGTGCATCAAAAAATGGGGAGGGGCACCTGCAAGGACCCCTGGCTGGTCCTCCTATGCAAAACCAAGGCTCCCATAGGCAGGGCTGGTCCTGCTTCGACAATGGCGCATGGTAGCACGACGCTGAAGACCTCCCAGCCATGCATGGTTTGTTGGTTTCAACAGGACAACGCAACATGACTGAGTCCAACCTACTATCCATGGCCTCCAATATCATCCAAAGCATGTCTTTTCTTGAAGTACACTACATTCTGAGCCACCATGATGGAGACCTATCTGCTAGTGCAACATCATGCACCAATGCACCATCTAATGTCATCGGCACAAAAATAGGACATCAAGCAAAAAACCTGAGAAAACCTTTTGGCCACTTGTTGCTAAACACTGGCCCGAAACCGCACCCAAAGCCCGCCTTTAAAGAGTAAAGCGAGTGGCAGGGCCACCTTTGTTGTCCAGGCCACAAAGTTGGCAGCCCTGGTCGGTTCATATGGAAGAGACGCTTGGAAAGGACGCAGTCTTCATCCTTGTCTATAGGAGCGCATGTTTCCGCGTGGTACTGAAATATATTCTTGAGATGTTTTGAGTATAGGTTTTAGCCGCACTTTTGCAGATGACGATGTGTAGAGACGTTCTTTGATCTGCAAATACAAATAGCTTTCCTGACGTTTGGCCTCATCCTAAATTCATCCATCTGCGAGCCAAACCCCGGGAACACCGCATGTTTGCAGTTCTCTCACCGCCCGGCTTTTTTGGAGTCCAGAAGCTCAAAGAGGAAGACCATGGCCTGAAGAACCACCACAACCGGAGCCGAAGCCGACGAAGTCGGTCGAACTGAACTGGGGCAAATCAGGTGCAAACGACCTAGTCGCAGTCAAAACCACTCCTGCAACATTCCCCGATGGCCAACCCAGAAGCTCACTGAGTTCTGCACGACTGCGTGGAACAAGGAAGAGGGCTCCTGAGAGGCATCTGCTTTTTAATCGGGCCAAACAAACACTTTCCAAGCACCTCTACACACTTGTTAGTTTTACAATATCTTCACACACAAGCCTAGCCGAGCCCAAGTTTCACCAGGGACCAGGACAAATGCAGCATACAGTATACGGACATGACCGACTGGGCCTTCTGAGATCTTGCGCAATGACCTCCAAACAAAACCTCAATGAAGTGCGGCAAAGGCTCTTGGAGATTGGAACCACGGTAGCCATTCCGGATCTGCTTCTGGTCACAATGGAAGTGATTTCCTAAGGCCAGGCTGCACGGTGATTCTGGCCGCCCGGTGGTGATTCCTTTGTCGTCCTGTGGTGATTCCTTTGTGCATCCTGAATGCGCGTTTCAGCCGTGACCCACCGGCCTTGGACCAGAATGGCAGGGACAGGTCACGAAAACGCATGTGTTCACTCGTTGAATTCGTGCTGTTTCACGTAGACCAAGAAAGGCGAGCTGTGTCCATTCCTTGCTGAGCCGGGGCCCTTTCAGCGCCCATTGCCTGCTAATGGATGCTGATGGTCCCACATCTGACACTGCTATTGCAACAAGCTGCTTTAGAGTTCAAGCAGGAAATCTGGATATATCAATAAGTCTTAGACCTTTGTAGATCGCATTGATCTTCAGGCATCAGCCACCAAGGCATCTCCCACTTTTTGACGATTTTCACCCCGGACGGCGAAGTCCGGGTCACCGGTGATCCTGCCGCGTTCGACTCGGTGAAACGAGGCGAGCACGGCGTAGGATGTGGCCCACCTCTCAGGCGTTCGACTCGGCGGCGGAACTCGGGGCCTGGCGGATGGAGAAGGCGAAGCGAAGGCGAAGCGGTCGTGGCTTACGTGGATGAGAGGCGACGAACCACATCATCCTATGACATGAATTTACGAAGTTCGGGATAGATGTAGGAAGCGGTAATTCCCCTCATGTGGTGTGAGAACTGCCCAAGTTGTGATTGCCAAGATCTGGGGTTTGTTGAGCCCTTAGTGGAGACAGTCCTTTTTAACTTGTGGAGCGTTCTCACACTTCTCACTGTCACTCCTGCTTGATTTCTTCAGTCATTCATCTTGGTATTCCTTGGTACAAACCGCGACTACTAGCAGTAATTAGATTTGCTTCACCCACTGGCAGCCGGGGCCGGCAGCACCCCAACATCCACGACCCAAGGTTTACGACATGTGCCAGATGTCCCGACTGGTAAATTCAATTAAATTCATGCTTGCGGCTTGCGGTTGAAAGCACGGAGAATTCACTGGAACGAGCGACTTCACCTCCGAAGGGTGCCACCCCGACAACCCCGACACACCCCGAAACCACCTGCGCCATCTCCGTGCTTTCGCCCAAGCGGTTGCCGGATCCACCGAAGGCCTCATGGTGGGTTCAATGGGTCCGTCCCACTCATCGATTTTCAGTCATGGTCCTTCCAGCTGGTGGGGTCATGGTGGGTCATCGATGGTGTGAAGTGAGGCCTAAGGATCAACTGACAAGAGAAACAGGATGAAGGAGCAACAAACTGCTTGGGGAACAACAACCGCTACGTGTTTGTTTGTCAAAACCCTTCACACACTCAATTAGTACCCTTATATAAAGAGGGCTACTGTTGAAAAGCACCACTTAGTCTTGAGCTTGCCATTTCAAATGTGTGCCTTCCTTGATCTTCTTTGCCTGCTTAAGGCAGGTTCCACCACCAGCCTGGTTGAAATTTCGCTGAGCATCCCGGCTACGAACTGGCCACCTGGCCAGTAGCGGCGGAGTCCATTTTAATGACTTTGGAGTGGGCTCGTGGGTGCTTGTTCTCCCGAAAAAAAAATGTGATATCTGATGCTGCACGTTGCAGACATGAAATGTCCCGGAGATCAAACCAGCACCATCTCATCATTTCTTCATTGTAACTAAAACATGGCTCTCAAACTTCAAGGGTTTCCCGGCATATGAATGTACAAGGACGGTTTCTCGGAATAAGGTCAACAAAACTGTATCAACACATGTCTTTGTTTCCATCGAGATGCAAGAAATAGGATGCAGGACTTCCATCAGGGTGAACCGCCTTCTCAAGCAGGAACCAACATTCACCAAAGAAATTGGGGAAGCCTAAGATGGGGATGCTCACAATTCTTAGTGAACCGTACACTACACCAAAGTGATCTCTCTCCGTGGGGCAGGGCTCAACAATTAGTATCTCAAGTACATCAAACCACTCTCACGGTCCATGAAACTGTGCATTCTCCAAGTGACGCACAAGGACTCAGTAGGGAGCTCCACCGATTTTTTTCTACCCAATCAGGTACGTGGCCAAACGCACTGGACGCACCTCCACTTGGAGCAGTCTGATTCCTGGCACCGAGTTGCATAGCTTGGGAATGGTGTGATGGGCAAAAAATGTCTAGGCAAGCTACCCCACAAGGATAAAAGCGAGGAATGCTGTAATGCATGGAACGAATCCCGCTTTTCTGAGCTTGGTTTGAAGTTGGTTCAGGGCTACAACCAATTCAAATTCTTGGCCAGAGTCACGTGCGCTCGTTGCCAAAGTCACTGAAATTTTGGTAGCCTTGGACAATTGGCCAAAGCTTCTTCAGTTGCTCTGAATAAGTATCGGAGCAGTTCTGACCAAAGTATCTGAGAATGTTCTGCCATACCTTGTCAAATGCCTGTGTCTCAGTTCGATACAGTTCCATCTCTTCTGGTCAGTTCCATGACTGTGTCTCGTCTGCATCTGTGTGGGCTTACGGCGGTCCACTTGCACATCCACATCGAAGGAGGAGGTTGAGTTGGCTGGTACCTGGACGTTCACAGAATCGTTGACCTGACCAATGGTCAAGGACCTGTCAAACTGGATCACACAAGGCATGTTGGGATGTTGCTCATTTGCCACAAAACAGCTGTGCCACCTGCCACTGCGTCCAAATCTAAGATACTCAACATACCAAGACTCATATCAAGTATTCCCAAGCAAAGCTGACACAACATGCAGAGCCAAAAAAAACATGTACAGAAACACATATACTGTAAGACAAAATAACAAGAAATACAAAACACAGAAAACACAATTAAACAACACTTTCCTGCAAAAGGACATCCGTCCAAGCCCTCAGGCGCACCCATGAGGCTCCCAAGAGGTTGCAGCGCCCGCCTGACTCGATCGGATGGCCCCGAGCGGCCAGCGACTCTCCGTCGATGTGGGGTGTTCTCTTTTTTGGGGGCGAAGTCATGAGTCTCATGACTCATGAGTCATAAAATCCCAGACACGACCCATGGGACTGCCATATATGCTATATATGCTTACATTGACCCCCAAAACCACCCCAACTGATCGGCATATTAGATGGCAGTCCCATGGAGTGTCTGAGAATGAATCCACCCTCCAAAAAAATCACCGTACATCAATACACCGGCTTTGTGGATACTTCTCAACGAGGCTGATCAAATGGAATTGACCAAATGGTTGCAATCTGTTTCGAGACCAAAACAGGCATCTGAGAGGTGTGAGTTTAGGAGGGCAAACCTGCAGACGGTAGGCCCCTGTTGCCTGCGGCTGCAGGTAACGTTGCCCAGCAAGAGGCAATATAGATCAAGATAGGTAGATAGACAACAAATATATATAGATAAATATAGATGTTTCGAGATTTGCCAGCGGACAAATTGGATGAGGCATCCAAGTCAGACAACCAGGGAGAGAAAGCAAATGGAACGTCGGCATTGCATGCCAGTACTGACAAGAAAACCAAATACAGTATAAGAGACTTAGGGACTTAGGGTATACTAGGGTCACTGTCAGTGTGTCCGTTGTTCCGTCTAAAGTCCATGGTGCATCGAACCATGCCAACCAATTTTCATTGGACCCAGTGGCAATCGACCCTTCGTCCGACTTCCTGACCCTCCCGTCCACTCACAAAAAAAGACCCGCGCCGGCGCCTCCGACACGAACGACTCGACCCACACGACCCGCCTCGACAACAGCGTTGTTCCAGGCGATCTAAGCGAGGCTTCGAGGGCAAAAAGCGTTCAAAACCTCGGTACGTCGTGTGGGTCCACGACCGACTGTGTGGTCCCACGACCGCGTCCGGTGGAAGGGATCGTATACGTTAGTTAGGGGGGTTAAGAGAGAATCTGTAAACGGCCGCTTGATTTGATAGGTTCGAACAAGTATTCTAGTTTGCCATGGCCATTGATTGATGCTTTGTTCGATGCTTTGTTGCCATGGTCCTAGGCAGAACTGGTTTGTCTCGAAAATGCAGGTGGTCCTTGAAGTGCACATATTTCTTCACTCAAGGGCAGCTGAGAGATGCCTCAAATGCCATCATGCTGCCAAGAGTTCAAAGGGTCGATTCATTACACCGAGAAGGAAAACATGGCCGTCGGCTATCCGGCTGCATCAGTCCCCGTGGAAGCTTCCGACGATCCGACGATCCAAAGTTGCGTGTTGAAAAGCAGGATGAGACACACCAACAAACCATAAAGGTGATGGATGGTGATCCCGCACAGAAAAGTATATTTGCTACTGCTAGCTGCTACACCTCCTCTGCTTTCAAACCATTGCCATCAGCTGAGTGGGTTGTGACCCCCTGGGTCTTGACCAACCATGCTGTGCGCGGTCTGGGGACGAAATCGGCTGAAGGCATAGCCCGTCACCAGCGCAGCGATCAAGCTCTGGCAGGTCGCGCCGGGTCGGCCAGAATTGACAGGTCGTGTGCCAAGTCAGTTCATGTCAGCTCATCCATTGCATTCAAAGTTTGTCAAGTTTCTATGTGTGTGTGTGTGTCCCACCCTGGACAAAGGGTCTTACCCCACCACTTTTCCACAGGCAGGGGGGCAGTGGACCACTATCACTCACTGCCCAACGAAGACAGTGATAGATCGGTCGTGAAACAATGCGGGACGCCGCATTGTGTACCTGCCGAGTTTTTCCACACGCTGTCACCCTACTCTTCCACGATTTGATTCATGGTGGTTCCACATGATCCTTTCCCCACAAACAGGTTTCCCACAGCCACTTTTGCAGCTGAGTTGCGCCGCTTCGTCACTGCAGTCAAGGGAAACAGCTTTTGTTCAAACACCTACAATTTGTCTCCGACTTTCCGCCATGCTGTTCTATCGCCTTCCTTCTCACCGAGACACTTGCGTTAACTGAAAACCCAAGTTCGAAGCGTGTCCTGCTCAGCCGTCCCACTCGGGTGCTGAGTGTGATCCCCGTCACAGGGGCGCCGTTCTTGCACGGGAAAGCAACCACCCTAACGCACCACCGCTCACTGGATTATCACAGGAAGGCACCGACACCCTCACAGAATCAACCGCCACACCGGCCGCCGGGCCAAAAAACGGTTCTTGAAGAATCCTTCAGATTCCGAACTTCTGATCTCAGATTTCAGCATTCAGTTTTCTTTTCATGTTTTCCAATCATGTGCGTGTTTCCCTGTTCGCTATGTTGCTGCCGCGATTCTTTCATCGACAGAACTCAAGGATGGGCATTACAACTCTTCAGCTTAATTCGAGACTGCATGAACACACACCTACCAACAAGCTTACATTTAGCACCACCTTACAACATACTCACCACCGACACCAGAGATGACACCTTCAACAACAACAAGACAATACAACTCGGCACTTCTCCGCTGCTTTTTGCTGCCGCGCCGCGCCGCGCCATAGCTACGACCACGACATGCATTTTCCGTGGCCCTACGCTCACACCACGCCACCACCATTACCTACCACACAACCTCAACCCACATGGCCGATGCCACAACCATCAACTGCACCCACCTTTCCCTCGACACAACCATCGGCATACCCTCACCCACAACCACAACCTTTTCAACCACCACCGTTTTTGTCCACCCCTACCGCCACTGCACTGACCTACGGCACACCATCCACTTGGACTTTTGTCCAACCATGTCACGTGCCACCGCAACCCACACATCCAACTCCAGTGTTTCCGACAGCAGCACCTCCCCCGTCCTACCTGTTGCCACCACCTCATCCCACACCACCGGCTGAACTTCCTCCCCCCACTACACTGACACATCCCCCTCCAACACAGCAACAGACTGCGATTGCCAATTATCCATCCACAGACCCCCAATGCGCCATCCCCCAGGGCGTTTGGCAACCCTATTCAGCTTTTCCCCCCGTCACACAGCCTCCACTCCAACCGTTGCCCCCGCCACCGCCTCCACAAACCATCAACGCCTCAACACCAACCCAACCTCCACCTCAACAGCAGCTACCATCGGATCCAACACCACCGATCCAACCCATCCCCACGACTGCCCAGGACAATCCATTACCAGTCCAAAACACGCCTCCACCAGCTACCGTATCCCAACATTCAGCATCCCCATCGCTGGTATCTGCCACACCAGCGCCTGGAACTTCACTACCAGCACTAGACAAACCTGACACCACTGCCTCACCAGCACCGCAACCACCTTCCCCACAACCACCACACAGCAGTCGCCGCCACCACCACAAGAGCCGACGCAAGTCCGACCATCACCACAGAGGACGCCACCGCCACCGCCGCCGACATCGCCATCACCACCATTCCAAGCACCACAGCACAACCCGGCGACGGCGGTCGCCTTCAACATCCACCTACACATCTAGCCTTACGCCATCCCGCAGTCGTTCGCCACCACAACCCATTGATCTACGCCCCAACACCGAACACACCAACCCGGACCCCTCTCAATATCCCACCACAGCCGTCCTCCGTCGCCCAATCAACCGTTGGCGACCTCCACCCAACTTTCACACCTTTACACCTGCAGACCAAATCCTGGAATGGCTCGAATTCCACGCCACCCAACTCGACAATCCCAACCGACCACAACACCAGTACATTGCCAATATCCTCACAGACTGCAACATCACCTACAAGGAGATCACCGATTTCCGACAATATACCCACGCTAAGTGGAACGACATAACTCACCAATACGACCAATTCCAGTACTACGCCATTTCACTTCCCTTCCTCAACACCAAAGCCACTACACCAGAGCCACCTGCGGTTTCCCGCGCCACATCAACCCACCGGGAAGTCGCCCACATCAACGCAGGCCACACAGGCCCCGTCGGCAACATTTCCAACATTCTACGCCAAGGCCGTTTTTTACCCAGCACACTCCACTTTGCCAACTACCCTGGATTTTTTGCCCAGGGCGTTCGCATCACCCACAACCAACCCCATGACCACAACGAACTTGCCCGCATCATCCACAACACCTGGCAACTCCACAAGAATTCCCATTCCCTTATCATCACACTCCTTGCTTGGGGTGCTGCCACAAAGTATACCTCTGGAGGTGAGGAACACGCCATGAACCTCCTTAACGACCACCATGGTGCGGTCTTTCATCAGAAGGGCCGCTGCTGGGTGATCCACCCGGACCACGCCATTGTCAAAGGACTGGCCTGGTCCACCAACTCCACTCCACCGGACCCATAACACCACTACCACACATCTACACACCACTACCACTTCCACATCCACTTTTGGTCTCACACCACCACCCAACCTTTGCTGTAGCAGCAAAAAAGAGCCTCCTGCAGCGGCCACGGGCATTTTGAACCCTCAATTTTTCTAGCTCCGCAGTGTTTGCTGAGAACTTTTTTGAATTGTACCGGCTGTTTTGAAGGAGTCTTTCACATGTCGGATTCTGCATCGTGGAGAGTGATTCTTCAAGTCATGTACTCAATTGTCCAACCGGCATTGCATACTCGCACTTTTGCCTGTGGGAATTTGATGCTCGCTTAATTCATATGCACGGCCTCGGGATGACGCGCTCCCTCAGACTCGCCGCTGTCCGGCTGCTTTGGCGCGCTGCCGCAGCAACCTGTGACGATTCTTGACCACTGCACACCCCTACATCTCAGACCCATGAGCGGCACACCGACACCTCTACAAAACGACACTTCAACTCTCATACACAAAACCGCAGTGGCACTTTCGCAGGTGCACAACCTGCTTCGACAAGCAACAGATATTGTAGCACACCTCCACACGGTTTTCCTCCACCACAGCCACCAAGCGGACCCCACTTTCCGCCAACACTTTCAGCCACTTCCAACTCCGCCCAACCACCCTATACGTTTACCATCCACCACCTCATCCTGTGACTCAGCACCATCCAGACCACCCAACCGTTTACCAGCACCACTCTTACAAGACTCAGACGACACTCCAACAACACCCCCTGATCCACAACCCACCACAACACGCAAGCGGAAGCAACCACCCCCACCACCGTTGAACCGACAGGCCGATTGGGACGCTTGGGACGGCGACGCTGACTGTCGCCTGGTCGAACTCAAAGAAAACCCAAAACTTCGTCCCAACTGGACCACTGTGGCCCGCCGAGTGGGCTTCTCCGTTGAGCAATGCCAAGCCCGATGGCAAGAACTCAAAGACATGCAACGTCAGCAGGACCAGCAACTCTTCTCCACACCACAACCAACCGCACCACCAAGACAAGCACCTTCCCCCTCACCAACACCAACATCACCAGCAGTTTCCCCAGCACCACATTCACAACCGGACTTCTCCCCTTCCCCCACCACAACGCCACCGACTTCACAATATCCAACGACTCCTGCTGCTGTGCTGCTGCCGCCGGCTGCTGAGCGAGCGCTTAGTGAAGACAGTCACCCGGAGAAATCTCCACTCACGCCAGTTGGCAGTTATTTCATTTGATCCGTTTCACCCACTTTCCTTACGGCGTGCCGCACGACAAATCCACTGACATGCACTGACTTTTAGTTCTTCACACCCAGTCTATGTTCACCAAGTTGCCCACCTTCGATTTGTCAGTTTTCAGGCTCACCTCAGCTCCGCAGCCTTTTGTACGCCATCACAGTCCATCACTTGTCATGGCCAATCCTCGCGCTCGCCCTCATAGCAATCCCGCTGATACAGAACACTACCTCCCACAGTGCCCTCCGAGCTGGCTCCAACCTTCGATTTGTACCCAACCCGATTTTCAATCCCTCAACGGCTCTTTGGACCTCCTCTCTATGGTCAACCAGCACCTCCGCCGTCACCCATTCCACACTGAACCTATGCCAAGCCAGACTTATTTTCAAGACCAGAGAGCATACAACCTCCTTTACCGACTACGCGGCGACCTGATCTTGCTGGACCGCCTGATCGATGACCTCTCCCAGGCTCGACGACTCCTTCAATTTGTTACCACCGGCCCCGGGCTCCCAGGACAATACCGCATCAACCCCACAGCCACACTCTCCAGCAGAAACCTGGCTATTATCCACAACATACCGCCAGGTTTTCCACTACCACCCGGGCTTTCCAGCCGTTCACCCTCTCCTTCACCACGCACCCCACCACAAGACGCAGCCCGCCTGCACTCATACTGGACAGGCCCCCCACCACAAACCACCCCGGCAACCCACACCAACACTATTACTCACACTAGGGAACGTTCACGGTCCCGCGACAGCCTCTCACACCACATGGGCTAACTACAGCAACATCCAACCTCCAGCTCTACGGCAGCCGCCGCGCATTTTGCCAACTATGCGACAGCATCCCTGCCCACGGCTACTGTTACTTTTGTTTTTCAAGTCTCACTGACTTTCTCGGCGAGCGGAAAAACTCAGCCATGCAACAGAAATTCTTTTCACATTCA